GACGCTTATCCCTCAGGGTGCTAACGGTTCGAAATCGAGCCAGGTAGCCCTAGCCCGAGCCAAGCCTGAAACAGAGTATGGCAGGCGTGGGCTTGAAATTTTTGTTTATGACCAAACCAAATTCATGATAATTAGGCCTCGAGCTAGACAGGGCCCGAAACAATAGGGCCGCACAGAGATGGGCCCTATATGAATATGGGAAGAATTCCTTATTTTTTTGATTTCATGCAATAGGGCCGCAATGATTTCATGCGATCGTTGCATAGTAATAGGATGCAACAACTTTAAAAAACCATCTTATGACCATTTGTTTGATCCAAAATTTGAAATATACACTCTTTTCATTATAATGAACAATTACAAAAAAAGAAAAAATTGAAAACACAACTTAAAAAGTATTTTTTTAGCCCAATTAACATAGGCCGTTCATTTTGGTGAGATGTTTAGATCTAGGCTTTAGAAGGATTTTTTCATTTCCAATTTTTTTGGATGGATTTATTATCATTAGATGAACAATGTTAAAAAAGAAAAAAAAATGATTTTGAATTTATAAAGGCTAAGATCTTGAATTTCACAAAATTAATGGTCTAGATTTGTTTTTGGAGGGTACTCACTTCGATCATATCTAAAGTTCAAATTGAAATTTTTTTTTGGGGGGATTGATTATTGAGATGAAGAGAGTGTGTGTAAAAAATTTGGGATCATACAAATACCACAAACGTGGTTTTCTAGAAGTGTCGTTGCATTATACTATAATACAACCGTTGCATTGGATCATTGCTCTGTATGTAATATGTGTACTTAAAAACATTTATTCTCAGCTTTGTGGGGTCTGCATTGGCCCAGCCCCAGTCCGAAAAATATTTTGGGTCTACCAAGCTTGACCCCTCCCCAGCCTGTGGGCCTTGAATGTGGCTCAAACCCTACCAAAAGGCCCATGGTCTGACCTAGACTAGCTTACTGTTATGCTCGTCTCCCATGAGATTGTCTACAAAGATATCATTTATCTTTTGTACTTAGAGGTTACATTCATTCTCACTCATTAGATGTCAAATTTGGTAGCTTGGAGTGCATGTTGTACATTCTGTAACGGCCTAACTCATGTTTTAATAAATTTACTAAATATTTGGTCGAAATCAAAGTTACTAAAACCCAACAGACCAGCGGTCCAACCGGTAGAGCTGGAGTTTGGAAGCTTGTTTGGTTCTATGAACTCCCGGACCGCGATGTACATAGAATTTGTGAAAACCAGCATTTGAGTGGTCGAACTGGTTCTTTCGCCTGTTTTGTTAGCTCTATTGGAACATCCAGCTTTGGGAAAGTAGAATTTAATTCCTTTTTCAAAATTCTTGCCAAATTTTTACATGATTTTTTCTTTTTCATTTTGATAGCTTGGAATTTTTTGGTGCCAAATATTGTACCAAAACTAACTTATTTTCTTCTTCTTTTTTGTCACTTTTTCTATTTTTTATTTTTATTTTTACACCTTATAAAAATTTGAGTAAGATCGATTTCCTTTGTCATGATGCTTTATTGAGTCGCTCTAAATAACTTGGAAAAAAAAATTATCCATCATTTTGTAAATACTTTAACTAACTTAGAAAAGCTAAAGAAAACAATGTTTTATGAGAGTTTAAAAATGAATAGAATTTTGATGGGTTTTTCCCTAATTTTGTAAATATTTTAACTAACTTAGAAAAGCTAAAGAAAACAATGTTTTATGAGAGTTTAAAAATGAATAGAATTTTGATGGGTTTTTACCTAATGTATTCAGTTAATATTGGAAATGCCAAACTCTTCTACCAACTATTCCTTGGTCTTACTTAATGTATTTTTCACTTTTATTTTATTTTTGATAATTTAATAAAAAATTTAAAAAATTATATTGGAGAAAAGGACAGCTCTTTTGCCACTGAAAATGGGGCATTAAAGGATCATAAATGGAAAGCATAGAAGTGAATGTGTTGGGAAATCACAACCTGATTTATTAATTTTTGTGATGAGTGTTAGATGATAGTCTACTAATAAATCTCTCTCTCTCTCTCTCTCTCTCTCTCTCTCTCATACATGTATGAGATACACAAACTCAGACAGACAATTAATATCTCTTAAAAAGACATGCACCTATTTATTGTCTATTTAACAAGATATAAAAAATCCACCTAACATCCCCATATATACACACACATGAAGTGAAGAGTAAGTTCCATGCTCCCAAAAGCTCCCAAGCAAAAACAAACAACCAAAGATGAGGTTGGTGATAGTAGCAACAGTAGCCTTTCTGGCCTTTTTGTCCTACAAGTGCCAAGCCCAAAACATATTTGTCTCGCCCATGCTCCCCAACCCCCGTTCGGGCGGTTTTGACCCAGTTCCCACCGGTTCGAACCCGGTTCTCGGTGGTTCTACCCCGGTTTCCAGTGGCTCAACTCCTGTTTCAGGTGGCGGTCTACCATTTACAGGAGTTGATAACCCGTTGACGGGAGGCAGTTTTCCGGCTCCTAATGGTGGGGTTGAGATACTCCCTGGAGTGGTGGTCCCTGGAGTGGTGGTTCCTCTGCCTGGAGCCGGAGGCTCAGTGGGTGTAGCTGGGGTTGCTGGGACACCAGGAAGCACAGCTGAAGGGTTCAGTTTCGGATCAGGGCAGCCGGGTACCGCAAATGGTGTCATAGTCACTGGACCTTGAAAAAATGGGGAACTGGTTGGGTTCAATAACAGGTTTGGGATGGTTTCAGTTTCTAGATGGAAGTTAGGTCCTCTTAGAAAGTTACGAAATCTTATTGTAGGGCTTGTATCAAGGCTTTCACTGGGGTTAGTGGTATGAATGTTGTCAATGCTTGATGTTGGTTTAGTAGGATGTTTTCATATATATGTAAAAATAGAGTGATGTTTTATGGTGTCTTGCCCCTTTTAAGCTTTCCCGAGTTTTCTTTTTTTCGAAGTGTTGCTTTCAGAGGATATATGCATGATAAGGTAGCTTGGTCTGCCATCCCTTGTATTTTTGAGGTGGTAAAAGAAAAAATGGTGACAGAATAGTGTGGTTTGCTTTTGCGACAAGCTTCTAGGTCTTACAGTCCATTCACATGGAGAGAGAGATATTTACTAAGGGTGGCAACGGGTCGGGTCAGATCCGGGTCCAGCCCGATTCAGATCCGGACCCGATTGGAACCGACTCAAAAATAAAAATATCTATGTACTAAACTACTATATTTAAATATATTTTATAAATTGAGACCTGAAAAAAATTACTGGACCTGGACCCAGACCCGAATAAAGTTCGTGTCTAAGATTTGGACCCAAACACCCGACCCGCTAGGTCCAATTTTTGGCCCCATACCCGGACCCGGATAAATCATGGGTCAGGTCTGGGTCCATTGCCACCCCTAGATTTTATAGGTCCATTGGTCTGTTTTTTGCATGTAGTGTGTATTTGTGTGAAGAACTTGTAGGCTACTACTGTCTGTCAGTCTATCGTATATTAACGATTTTAAGGAGCGCGTATACCATGCTCCCACAGGAGCACAACTATATACGCACTCCCTCAAGCAGAAAATGTTTTTCTACCCCCAAATATGGGAAACACTCCTTTAAAAAAAAATCTAATAGAGAACGCGATTAGAAACTTTTTTTTTTTATAAAGTGTAAAATATGAGTCGAAGAAGTTACATCCCCTTTATAGATTGGGTTTTGCCTGAAAAAGTAAATGGACAGTATGCTCCCTCGGAAGCATGAAATATTTCACTCTATTTACATCCACCATTATCTGCTGATGGGCTCCTAGGTAAGTGGAGTAAATGCTCATCATGTAGTAGTACCATCCCGAACCAAACCCTAAATTGCCCTTATTCATGGTTGTAAGTTTCTTATTTATGAACAACTTAAATGGGAGATGATCTTCCTATTAAGACTTTCAGAGCACACTAATACATTTCATAATTCCTTCGGGTAAAAGAACTACTTAGAAGGATCTTTTCGATTGAAATTTCGGAATCTATTTATTTTAGAATTACCAAATGAGTTTTTCATAAAGTAAGTTTTAGATTTTGAGTTCTTAAGACACTTGCTAATTCGAACTTTTAAAAAATGGGAGATCGCTGATCAATCTTCGAACATAGTTGTTCAAATATGTGTAAGGTCATTATGAATTTTTTTTATCTTTTTATTTTTTGTATTTTTTTATCTTTTTATTTTTTGTGGAATTGGTCGTTGGATATATATGTATAGGTAATACGGTTTAAGGTTTAGGATTTAAGGTTGAGGTATAGAGTTTCAGGAATTGGATTTGGGATTGTGTGGTTATAATGTTTAGGATGTAGTCATCTTTACAGGAAGGTTCTATCAATACTTGCACTAAACTCTTTTAGCCCACAGCCATATCACATTATCCAAAATAATCCTCCTATAAAAGACAGATGAAAGATCTCTAATGGACTCTCATATGTTACCATCCTAATCACAATCATGAAATCTAACAGTTCCCAATTCATTCTTCTAAGAGCAAAGTCCTGCATCATTTTACCCCAACCATCCTAATCACAATCATAAAATCTAACAGTTCCCAATTCATTCTTCTAAGAGCAAAGTCCTGCATCATTTTACCCCTATGTTACAAAAATTTGAAAAACCCTATTATCTCCCGAGTCTCCCAATTTTTCATTGTTTTTCGAATTTCCTTTGTTACATGTATCCTGGCCTGACTCGGACTCGCCTAAGTCAGACTTGGGGGACTTCGGATAGGACTCATGATGAGTCCAGGTCCTATTCTGACTGTGGAAACATTTATCACCCTGAAAGCCTAAAAAGAAAAACAGCACACCCACTGCAAAATCTGACAATTCACATTATATCTTTCTAGAACAAGGGGTCCCTTCTCTTAGGGAGAAAAGTAGTGACTCTTTAAAAGTTAGAACAACAAACAATAGGGCGTCAAAATACTTTCTGCAAGCATTTAACATAAGAATACTTTTAAACATATCAACTTAAAAAGAAAGGAAGAAAAAAAGTGGGGCAAAGAAGAAAGTTCTGCATTCTTTTACCAGAATAATGCTGTTCCAAGAAAAAACAACCCAAATTGAATAATATATATATAATATTATACAGCAAAATAATAAACACAAGTAAAAATGTATGATGTTATATTTAGCATAAGTTACAAATTATACTTTGATGAACACAATAGGCATGGTATGGAGAATATATGAAAGCCAGAAACCAAGGCCTCATGTGCTGGGAAAAAAATAAATGAATAAATATATTGCAGGGGTCGAGTCTTATACTAGTCCTCTTTACCCATAGCATCAAGCACAAATTCTACATACAAGTTCTTCAAGGCGATCATGATAGTCATGAGCAATGGACCCATAATTGCACCCTGCACAAATGAAACAAAAAGGAGAACAGTGATTATGAAATCTCCGTCACAAACTCACATTTTCATGGATCATTTCACAATCAAGCGACGAAATCATATCAATTAATATTTCAGAAATTCTTAAACTACCAAATTCAAAAAGAAATAGCAGTGTAGTGGAATTCAGCAGATAGTTTCATAGAAGTACAAAGGAAAAAACTATTTTGTTTTTCTTTATCTATCCATACATACTGAAAGGCATTCATATCATGTTTTTATAATTATTCAGGAAAAAGGATCTAGATAACTTCAACTCATAATTCATACATGTAATCTTTAACCAAGTAAGGCAAAGGAGAGTAAGTAATTCAGCATGTGCAAGTAAATGATATAAAATGCTCAAAGGATGACCATCGCATCTCAGTCGAGTAGTTGCCCTTGATTCTCCTTTCATCTCAATCAAGTTTGGTGTTTCAATCATGCATTCTGTAATATTTACTTCCCATACTTGCATCCAAGATTCTGTCAAACCCTAAACTCTAATATGATTTACTCTGGATAAAATCATGCTGGACAGTGGTTCTATTCCTTTCCACCCAAGACTTCGAAGGAAATAACTAAGACTAGATGCAAATACTCAGACCAAACAACTCATTGGCATACAGGTTACATAGAGAGATGTATGAGTAATAGATACAATTGGGTGCACAACCATGTATAAATCCATATATTGTGCAGCCATGAGTGCTTAAGAAAATATACAAAATTGTGTGTGTGCAAGCATGTAAAAGCACGTTAAACTCATCGAAATGAAGAACAAATTGCATTTAGATAAATACATGCTACTATTCACAACTAATGACAAAATAAAGGGAAAGAAAATTGAAAGATAAACTTCCTAGGAGCTAATCAAATAAGAAACAAAATTGAAAGATAAACAAAATTGCATTTGATCGCTACAGATGAAAGCGATCAAATATGAATCACCACCAAGCAATAGTAACAACCAAGTAATTCAGGCAAGTGAGCAGGCAAAATGAAGAAGAAGACTCTAAACACATAACAAGTGCAAACATAGGTAAACTCATAGTAAAGTCTAAAAGCATGGAGAGAACTCATAGTTAAGTTCAAAAGCATGGAGAGAGAGAGAGAGAGAGAGAGAGAGAGAGATTCACCTCCAAGGCTGAAGAGAACAATGCCATTCCGCCAAGTATGCTAAGCCCCGTGAGATAAGCGCTCTGACCAGGTATTTCTTCTTGGATTGCAGAGGCCCCAAAATCCATGGCCAAAAGATGCACACAACACAAAATAACAGCCTGGATATACCGCCCTTCCATGGCCAATTGAGCACCAGCAGGGATAGTAGAAAGCCAAGAAGGAAATATAGGTAAAAGGGGACCTAGAAAAGCCAGAATTGTTGACATATACAAGAAATGTATCTTAAAGAATCTGAACAGTAGCCATGTGAAAAAGCCTTGATAGAAAGCAACTTTAGCAGTTGCCAGGAGAACACTACTAATTGAACGATCCAGTACTTCAGCACACCTAACCCTTGTGGATTTTGAAAGCGGAATCATACCCAAAATATGGTCCATAACACCGCCTGATTCAGAAGTGACGAGAAAAAACAATAACCAGAAGAAAACTATGGATTGAGAAACAAAATTCATAATGTCAACCGCACCCGAAAGTATCTTAAAGAAGAAAGAGAAGAACACGTTTGCCCCTCCAGCCATTACCAAAGTGCTGCTAGATAATACCCTCCTCGATATCGTGACCCCTTTTAGAGCAAGCCCTTTCAATTTTTCAACTAAATCGCCCCTGGTTATCAAAATTTCTCCCGAAAAGGCATGTAGCTCTCTGTAAATCTCGCTCCACTCCCTGTTTTGAACCTTCGTTCGAATACTGTGAAACTTTTCGGTATATGGGTGAGGGGGAATTGAAGGTAGATTTGATTGAATTGGGCCAGCGGGTTGCATCAAATAAGGCTTAACTCCATCAACAAATTCAGTTAAATTATACTGAGTGGCCAAAGAATCAATCTGTGTCAATACTTGTTCATGGACCTTAGCAGAGTAAGTATCAATTAAAACAGGGATATTGTTATCATTAATCCACTGTTTAAGCCCAATTTTTTCTGCATAGTCACTTTCTTCCAAGTGGGTTTTCAGTGAAATAACTGCATCTTTTCCTTCTAATCCGATCTTATACGAGAAGAAAATCCCACCAGCTAAAAACCCAATAATTATGGAAGAAATTAAACCCACTGCAACTATAAAATTCAATCTTTTAAGGACCCAATCAGTGAAAAACCCGCTAAATCTCCTTCTAGATAGATTATGAGTTCTTTTAACAGAATAAATCATGGAAAGAGTTGAATTAACATCCGGAAAACCAGAATTAAAGAAACTGAGAAACGCCATCAATGGGAGAATCAGAACTAGAGGAAAACCTAGAATATCATACCCAAAAACAAATGCCCCAAAAGCAACTAACCATTGGAATAACTTGGCGAACCCCACCTTGCCGGAATTGTCATCTGAAACCTGGTATTTCCGGGAAATTAGCCGGAGTCCAACGAGTTTTAGGTCCATCAATGTACTGGAAATTACCTTAAATATGGCGATTGGAATGGCCAAAAGGGTCTCTAGAAACCCTAAATTTAGTGGGTATGACCAGAATTCAACCAGGGTTTTCTGAATTGCTCGAAGGGGCATCGAGAAGAGAATGGCCCATTGAATTGGACGCAAGAAGTCTTGAAAGAGTTTAGACAGAGCGTAGAGAACGGCTAGAGAGAGAAAGAGACCAGCATGAGCCATGGCGATGTAAAGAGCGAGAGTGACATTGGGGTTGTCCGAGAAGGTACGGTTTTCAGGCAAATGAGCATTTTTTTCTAGAGAGCGAGGTGGGGGCTCTGGTGAAGCGGGGCGCCGAATAGAGGCGGAGCGAAACATGTCAGACCAGGGGAGGTTTGGAGACGGGTCTTCTTCTTTTGGGGAAGCTTTACAGTAAGGAACGATGTCCATTCTAGAGAGAAAGAGAGAGATTGGGCTTTCGATCAGGTATCGCAATCAGAGGACGATGCACAAAGGTTTGCACCTTTCGAAGAGGGGGATACTGTGTTTTAGAGAGAGAGGTTACTCCCTGGACTTTTGATGGGGCAGAGGAATTTTAGAGAGAGAGAGAGAGAGACGGAAAGCATGCTGTTGTACTTTGCGATAAGAGAGAGAGAGAGACTATTTGTTCAGCGACAACGGAGACACCCTGGCCTTTTGACTTAGAGAGAGAGAGAGTTTCAGTCTACAACTGTTGAGAGAGAGAAAGAGTACATAGCTGTAGATAGAGAGAGTTTCAGTCTACAACTGTTGAGAGAGAGAAAGAGTACATAACTGTAGATAGAGAGAGTTTCAGTCTAGAGAGAGAGAGAGGAGAGTTTCAGTCCAAGATAGAAAGACTTCCCCCTGGTTAAGAATCTGAGAAATGGGGCACCCTTATTTCACTCTTAACTCACAAGGGACACTCGTCCTGGACCTCTCATGTGTGTCTGTGAGAGAGAGATTACATTCTAGAGAGAGAAACGGAGAGAGATTACCAGAGAGACCTCACCATCAACAGGGGAGGTTGAGGTTGAATTAGTAGAGAGAGAGAGAGAGAGAGAGAGAGAGGGGAGTTTGAGGTTGAATTGTAGAGAGAGAAAGGGGCGTGATATGTGCTTTAAAGTCGAAACAGTGTGAAGGGGCTCGTAGAATAACGGTAGGGACAGGTTTGGAAGGAATTTAACTAATCGTATACTTCACTGCCCTTATCTTTCAATCCAAAGACACGAATACCCCCTTCATCTTTTGATTCTAGTTGGTTTGTATTTCCCAATAAATGAAATGCAATTTCTTTCGATGTGGGTCTTTCTTGAGCATAAAATATTAATATCTAGTATGGATGGCAACTGAATTGGCTTGTTGAACCATTGGTCTGGGGTTGAACCATTGGTCTGGGTGTGAACCAGATAATAGAGTCAACAAGTATGTATTTGACCTTCATCTGGGTTCTTGGATTGGCTCTAGATTAGATCTTAACAGCTCGTGGATCCCAATCAGCCCAATTTGACGCGACCCAATGTATAAGTACAAACACATGTTAATAATACTAAGTATATAGTATAAGATAACATTATTTATTATTATTATTATTATTATTATTATTATTATTATAGATCCGGATTCAACCACAACTGATCCATTCTCACCTCTAATTTTTATGACCAAAATACAAAAAAAAATTGATAAATTTTTCCAATATAAGTCTAAACAAGGCCAAACAACCTTGTGACCTAACTGAACTAGCCTAGTACAATGTGAGCATGTATTAACGTAGCCTAGTCAAATCTGAAGGAGCAAGGTGAAGGCTCAAACCTAGTCTATTGCCAACCCTAATTTACATCTCTATATTACATTATGTGAAGTGCCCGAATTTTTTATAAAACCTTTAATTTGTGATTCGAATTTTTTTTTCTTTTTTTCGAACTTTAAAACTAAAAAACCACATCTCATCTCTCTCTCTTTCCATTGTGGTTGTAGTTCATGTGATATCGTCTCATTTGGAGCCATCGTCTTCATCATTATCTGATCTTTATTTAAACAAATATTTGCTATCCTATCAAGCATTTATCGAATTTGCTAGAGCATAACAACCGCTTGAGACTCTTGAGGCCATTTTAATTTAAACAACGATTTGATGTCTTTTTAGAATTGTAAAGGATAATAAAGTCATTTTTATGATTTGAAGTCTTGAACCGACCCTTTGTCAAAGGGAAGCACTTTTCATGGCGGGTAACTTTTTCGGCGCGTGCGCTGGACTGTTAGACGATCGATACGCCCCCTTCTTTCATCAAAAGCTAAAAGATTTTCTACTCCTGCGGGAGTAGAATGTCCATTTACCCCGTTAGATAAAAACTTCCTTACAATTAATTTTAGGGGTATGACTTCTTTAACTTATAAATTAACTTCAATAAAAAAAAATTTTAATTGTACGCTCTATATGTTTGAAAAAAGAAATGTCTCGAGATTGAAAAAAAACTATCTAATTTTTAAATGGTGAAGATCAAAATGCTAGTAGGTTTGGCAATGTGTCATTTCCGTACACAAACCCGACCCAATTAGGTCTCCTGCAGACTTGGACCCAGCTTTGGTCCAAGTCATTTTGGACTTGGCCTCGGATTTAGAAATACAACAAATAAAAAAAAATTATATATATATATTATAGCGGCTTGGGTCGAGTCGACTTTGAACCTCGACAAAACCAACCCGACCTGAGTCGAACCGATACCCGGCGGGTCAACCCGATCCAGCTTCCACTCCTAAGTGTAAGAAAACTAAAATTTTATTTTTTTAAATATTCTAGTAATTATTATGTAGTTCCCAATCGATGAAAAAATACTCCAAAGTGAATCTTTTGATCAAGGGAGTAGAACTAAACTATGCGATTGAGGGAGCAGTACATGTGCTCCTGCCAAAATTGTTAAGATATCTCCATCTTCTGCAAGATTAGATTATTTTCACGTTCTCTCTATTTAAGTGAGAGGTTTAGTCTAGTCAAATTAACTTGGTTGTTAGTTTAACCAAATCAAATATTGAAAATAAATATTTTAAAATATAAAATAATATTAAAAATACTCAATTCTATTTAATGGGTTAAATTCACGAAATGTTAATTTTTTCCAATGTTTTATTGAACTCATTTTTCTTTTCTTTTTTTCTTCAAACGAGATTGGTCGACCACTGTGACCACCTCGTCCAGATTGGCCTTAATAACTATGATTTAAAACTATGGCAGCATTCTTAAGAAATATACATTTTGGAAAAAGATATACATTTTTTAAGTGCCTAAATGTTAAAAGGTCTTGATATTGAAAAATATAGTTTAATTTTGAGATATTTACCCATCTAAAGCGTATAAATACTATAATTATAAAATCATTTCTCAAGTTTGAATGTTATGTGCATATCCTTTTTGTCCCGTATTGTTTCTTCCAAATTTACCTTCACTTCGGAGATTGAAAATGCAAAGTCGTAAGTGGCTTCGGATTTTCAAACTTTGTAGCCATATGGTTTTCTTTTTTGAATTCATTTTTTAGGAAAATTGAAGTGTCACTCTTCCCTTTGAATTTTGAATATCTGAAATTGCATGAAATTTCTATGTAACTTAAGATATTCAAAATCCAATGTCAAATGTGACTTCAAATTTCCAGTAGTATTGGAGTTACTTCTATTTTTTCCCTAAAAAAAGGCTATAAAAATAAAAAATATGACTATGGATATTGAAAATCCGAAATCATCAACCGACACAATGACTTTGGATTTTCATTCACCGTGAGGTTACAATTGGAATAGGAAAGACAGACCACAAAAAGGATACACGCATAATATACAAAAATTGTAGTGGATTTTTATAATTAGATTATATACTATACTATATACGAGTAAATTATTCTTTATTTTTTTTTAGAACTAACTGAAAAATATTAATTAATTTTTCAAGACTAAGATCTGTGCATTTAAAAACTCAAAAATAAATTTTAGTTTTCAACAAAACTCAATTTGGTGATTTCACATGAAAACCTTTCAACGGAGAGAGTAAATATACAGTATGCTCTCACAAGAACACACTATTTGTACTCCCCCAAAAATAACATTAATCTGTTCCTCCCTCTATTGGGACAAGGCTTTTCTACAAGACCATTCGTTTTATTTAAAGCATGGATTGCTTGTATTATTTAAATGTGAAAAGGCAAGGAAAAAGGGAGAGAGGAAGGTGGGTGAGAAATGATTTCTGATTTTCATTTTATTGGTACCTCTCTATCTAAAACTTGACCCAGTGCTTTCAATTATTGTGTAATGGACCCAGTTCATAACCTCAATATCTCTCTAATATCAGTCAATCTTGTAATGGTCCCACTGTATAATCTCTAAGGGGTGACAAATCCAAATATATAGGAAAAGTCTTCCTAATTCTTATAGGCGAAATTGCACAGCAATTTCGTATATCTTTATTGTCGTCTAAAGTTCATCACACGGTCACGATTATCCGATAGTGTTTCATTTTTCATTTTTTTT